TCTCTTGGTCACTGTGATGAATGCTTGTTATTGGCTGTGCCTTGTGGAGCATTTAACTAGCTTTGCCATTACAGCTCATTGTAGGGCTCCTCTTTGACCTTGATGAGGGGAATCCTGTCACAAGGCTTCACTGGCCCTCTAATTATTAAGAACAGATGCCTCTATTTTACAAATTTGTGGAAATAAAGACTCTCATTCCAGGCTTACTTCCCTGTGCTCAATGAAGGTACTTGTCACATGTTCTCAGGAGAGTATGTGTGCTTGTCTGCGTGTGTTTGTGTGTCTTCAGTGGTGTGTTTTGACAGTGTAGAGTCTCTCTGGATATTGCAGGGGACTGTTAGCCGGAGGACTGCAGCACCGTCCTGAGCACAAGCAGTACACACACACACACACACACACACACACACACACACACAGTCTTGGCATTCCTTTGCTTTTCCTGACTGAAAAGAGTGATGGCTTGATTCTGCTCATTGATTTTTCTTTACAAAGTAGCAGAGTGTCAGGACTGATTGGGGAGAAGGGGTTGAGGAGAAGTGGCCCCTGGGGTCATTTACGAGGCAGTCCGTGACTAGATCCTAAGCAGTTAGAACAGATGAGTTTGGGGGTTATCTTTTGAGGAAACAGAATGTAATCCTTTTGAACATTTGGCCACTAAAAGATCTCATCTCTTGCCTGCTTTTCTCTTTGAATCTGTGCTCGTTTTTCTGTAAATGCCACCTTTTTTTGAATTTTTCCCTCTTCTTCTTCTTCTTCACCTTTAGGGCCGCTCACAAAAAAACAAGATGAGTCTACGATGAACAGACCAAGGGATGAAGGTACTTAAAATGCATGTTTTTTTTTTTCCTTTCTTCTGCTCCATTTTTCAAACTCTGTGGGGAATTTTGTGTTTGTATCTGTGTTAACAATAATAATCATCTAAGACTCATCACTCTGTGTGCACATTATAACGTCTTCGGTTAACCCCTCCTTTTGAACGTAAATCTATCATTCCTTTTAGCTAAATCCTATTTAGACTTCCATATAAAAAATACTTGTTTTTCATTCCAAACACAGCCTTTCGTGCACCGAGCTAATTCACTTCCTCTCTCGGTTGCTATGTGGTTGATCAACCACACACTGACGTCCTGACCATCCTGTTTAATGCACCACTGAAAATCAATATTCTGTCCTTTTTCACCTTTGCTATTATACTTGTACTAAGTCTTTACTGAAACGTTCTTCTAAATTGTTGTCCTTCATAATGTTATTGGGCATCCTCCAATTCTTCTTCTTCTTCTCGGCTTATTTCTGCCTTTGCTCTTTATTTTCAAGTTCACAGCATTCAAAAGGAGACTCTCTCATTACCCTCTCTGAATCCGTGCAGACACTGTGTGCATCTGTTCCTGTACACGTGCCTCGGCGTACTGTATATTACATAGCATTATGCACACATAGAGTGCATTACATTTGCATTTGTGCATGTAGGTCTACTCAAACTCAGCGCATGTGCAAGTGTATGCCTGAGTGCATATGCTCTAATTTGTGCCAGTGTGTGTGGTTTTTTCCTCTATTTTCTTTTTTTTTTTTTGTATTTCAGGCTCTGTGCTATTTAGGTATTGAATTCTCTCTCCCTTGCATCTCTAATTGCTATGGTTTAAAAAGAGACAGATGTAGCTAATCCAATTGTGTGGTTTCTTAACGGTGAAAACAGAAGGAAGGATTCATGCAGGATTGCCTAGGAGAGGAGCAGAATGATAGAATAGAGATGAAAGAAAAGGAAAAAAGACTGAGCCCTGTGAGAGCACCAGGGAGGGCAATGAGGGGGAGAGAGAGAGAGAGAGAGAGAGAGAGAGAGAGAGAGAGAAAGAGTAAAGGGGGGGGGGGGATAGTCATAATGAAGACAAGTGCATGATGAAATGACATTTATAGAGCTTTGAAAGTGAGAGAGATGTAGGGAAAGAGAGATTGAGAGGGTGGATGAGTAGGAGACTGGTGGAGCTTGACATTTATGCCGACACCTGATGGATTTTGACAGGATCGGGAGGGCTCGGGTAGGGCTTGAATTCCTTGCTTAATTGCTCGGGTGTGGAAGGGAAACAGGTTTCCAAATATTTTTGGGAAATACTATTATTGGTGTCTTGTTTTGGAAAGAAAGAAACTCAATTGCTTGGTCTTGGACGCAAACATTATGCAGGGCGAAAGTTTTACGCCTAAATCAAATTGAGATTTAGAAAATATATTTGAGAGGAGCAGACTAATGGAAAAAGAAGCAGTTTCCATTGGGAGGTAAGGCATTACTTTGAGAATATATTTAAGGGAGAGTTGGATTTTGAGGATAGCAGGTTAGGTAGAGAAGCGAGGAGTGGATAATGTGCCAGTGTTTTTGAGGCCAGCAGGCAGGAGAGACAGTGAGCTCCTTGTTGGCCTCAGATTTGGGCTGAGTGAGACACTTTCACCCTGCGACCCTGCACCCCTAAACGCCCCTCTGTTTGTGCTGAGCCCCCTTAACAACATGGTACAACTTTCATCCCATCAAACCACTACTCGTCTTCTTCTTCTTCTTTTTGTACACCAAAGAGTCTTTTAAAAATCTCATGCAATTTACGGTATCTTCAACTTGTTAGTTTCACCGGAGACAGATTCACATTTTCTCACCATCTGTCCAGGGTTTGATGAAATAAACTAGCCAAATGTTCTGTTTAAGCTTACCTGATAAAAGTCTAAAGCCCCACAAATGTTGTCCGAAGTGATGGGAAAAGACAGCCAAAAAGGTTTTCCTCTTCTTCATGACTTAGACCCTTAGACTACCTTTCATTAAAGCATTGTAGGTATGCATGAGCTTTTTATCTTCCAGTCCAAAATGATTGGATTTTTATTTTTACTCCTTTACTTCATTGAGCTTAGTAAATGATTGAGTTACAACTTCAATATTTTTTCAGAAGTCTTGCTGGTTCTAGGTTATTAGAAAAACAAAAGTTTTCCTCCCTTCTTTAATTCACAGTTTCACAATTTTTCAACATAAAGGAGTCAAAGTTCTCATTTGGAATTAACTTCGATAGTTATCCACCTCAAACAGTGCTGACCTTGATATGTAAGAGGATAAGAACTGAAATACGTTGTCCCTTTATGAAAGTCAGAGCTGACATTTTTAAATGCTAACAAAAGTGGTTGATCTTGCAAAGTTAAAATTGCATGTTAATCAAGTTTTCCACAGCATCACAAGTTCTGTCTGACAATAAAAGCAACCATCGTGTTTTGTTTGTTTGTTTTTTTAAAACAAAATGAAGCTTCATTGTGAAAAGACAATGTCTAGTCATTCCTTATGGAGCAGAGGGCGCTTCCTGGAACCAGTCGCCAAAGAAACCATTGGACATTTAACTCTTACTACTTTATAACTTAACTTTATTTTTAAAGCACTGATACATAATACAGTCAGTTGACAGAGCTTTAGAGCACACAGAGAGACAGTTATATACTATAAAACTCAAGGTAGAACAAGGAATAGAACCCTTTTGTGTCTTCATAAGGAGCTGTGCTAAGTCTAATAAAATGGCTCAAGTGACATCACTGTGTTTCTTTTGGCTTGATAAGAATGTCATTAAAAATTTTAGGGTGTCGAATTGTTAACCCCCTCCAGTCATCTCTGTCTGAGACTCACTGAAGGCTAGGTGCTGTTAGCATAAAACACCTAAATCGCTAATTAACTAGGCTGGTGGATGTCAAGTTGCGTTGTGGATTATGAAGGTAGCATGCTTTCACTAGAAGAATGTTTTGGATTAAAAAACACAAATGTTCTTTCCATGTGACTAATAGGTAAAATCATACAAATAACATATTTAAGTTTGGATGGCTTGACCTACAGTATTTACATTAATCATACTGTACTACTGTAACTGCCCACTTACCTTAACAGGAAGCAGCTGGGCAACCTTTTTGCAATTGACCTGATGAATGTCTTAATGGCTCAAATACGTCAGAAGCATGTTATATTACGAGTGTGATATCTTGAAGAAATGAAGGCTTTTTATAATTACCCCTAGAAGGGCCTCAGGTGTGTCAGTTGCGCCTTTCAAACATGCACTTCTGAAGATGTCTGTAAAATTCAGGACATCCCGCCCCTGATATTTTCCACAGTTGCCCTTTCACACATGACCCTTACTGTTGCGCCCCACCCTAAGCCGGCCCTATGGGGCCAAAAACTATGCACAGAGGGACTCAATAGAGCACTTAAAAAACCTTGACGAAAACCAAGGAATTTATCATTTATAGACAAACAAGGAACTAAATTATAAAGATCAACTAAAGGCTAACACAATACAACAACACATAATCCCTGTTAGAGGTGACAACACAGTAGTCCCAACTTCAAATGCCTCAGCCTCCGAATTTAGCACTGAGCTTTTAAGCACTGGGGCCAGCTGCACCTCATTGTGCAATCAGTAGCTTCACCCAGGCAGAGCAGGAGACAACAGAGAAGGGACACACAGCACGGGAACAATTTACAGCAGCCGTAATGGTGGGTGGGGTGAAAAGGGTTGCTTTTGAAGTCCATAATGTTTATAACAAATCCACCAATGGGTACCAATAAAGTAACCTGAACCTGAACATATCCAAGATGGCCACAAAAGGAACCAAGTCTGACTCTATGAAGACGGTTTTTTCCTTTATATCAATGTAATTGGACATACTTTCATTCATTAATACATAGTATTAATAAAAGATTGGAAAAAGAAGCAGCGGTGAGAAGAAAAGAGTATGAGGAAGCTTCATAACATGTACGCCGACTGTACCGGACGCGCACCAGTCACATGATACAAATGTCATAACCCCATCCTGCTCTCTCACAGCGAATTATCCTGAATAGCACCTGCTGTGCTCACACATCAGCTCACCCTGACTTCTTGTGGAAGTTTATTGCGGGCTGGCATGAAATTTGTACAAGTGCATTTCATGTGTGAGAGGGGCTAATAATTCGAAATGTGGATCCCCACACTGAAGAGCACCAAAGGGACACCTATCAATCACACCCATGCAGCACATCATGCACCTGCTTTTTGACAATAGTCTTAATGTTATCCACCATGAGTCCTACAAAATCATTGTAAGAGCACAATGCCTAATCATTGGAGTGCTTTTTAATGTTTTAACAGGTAGGTTTACATCAAGTAAGTTTTCATGAGTACTCTCTGTAAGCTCACTGAAAGATTGATTTACATGTTATAAATACAATAGTTGGTGGTTGTAAACGGCAGCTACATGTTACTGCATATGCCCCGTCCCTCTGAAGATTAAAGTGATGGTATGAATGTTATGTGATGGCCTGCTACAGTATGTCACTCCTCCATACTGTCCCAGTAACGCCGGGATAATTGAACTTGTTTACATATCCTCTGGGAAATCAGCCGGGTTCAGAATACACCAGAGAGGAAAAGGGAAAAAAAAAGCAGCATGTTGGAGTGTACAACTGAATATCTTTTATTTTTAGCCAGTCTTCTTGTGTCGCATGTGTGAAGCCATATGTGCCATTTTGCTGTGTTCACTTATATGTGTGTGTGTGTGTGTGTGTGTGTGTGTGTGTGGGGGGGGGGGGGGGCTGTGAGTGACGCACCCAAGTGCATGTGTAACCTGAGATTCAGGTGGTGATGCAGGCGGGTGTGCAAATGCGTGAGTAGAATTTGTTACCAAGGCAACAGGCATTCAGTAAGTCGGTGCGATGGAATGGCTGGTGCAGTTCTATTAGCGAGAAGCAGTTTCCATAGCGACTCAACATCGCAGCTGCCTATGCAAGACTTTGTGTGTGTGTGTGTGTGTGTGTGTGTGTGTGCGCGTGTGTGTGTGTGTGTGCGTGCGTGCGTGTGTGTGTGTGTTGACTTTGTGTGTGTGTGTGTGTGTGTGTGTGTGTGTGTGCGTGTGTGTGTGTGTGTGCGTGCGTGCGTGTGTGTGTGTGTTTGTGTGTCTCTGGATGAATACGGTGTGTGAATTTGAGTGTTCATTAGCATGACTCTATGTGTATGACTTGCTTTGTAACATCTCATATCGTTTTTTTTTCATCCTCCTCTCCATCGTGTTGTTTTTGGTTTGAAGCTCCCATCCACGTTCTCTCACACTGCCCTATTTTCATCTCCTCTCTCTCACTGTCTTTCCCCATTTTATCTCTCTCTCCTCCTATCTCTCTGTCTCCCCATTTCTGAGTGCTGAAGCTCATCAGGGTAAACAGATGCTGTGGCTGTTATTTATGTTTCCACTTCGTCTGGCTTTCATACAAATTATCCACAGGCCCTGCACAGTGCAGAAGCTCTGCCTAAATGGGCTGCACTGGCAGCCCTCTCAGCCTCATCCATGTGCAACCACTCCGACCAAACCACAGACGCAAGGGTGGGGGGGATGTCATACAGCGAGGGGGGGACCATAGCAACACTTGCATGTATAGGTACCAAGACACCAATAACAGATGGGGTATCAAAACTGGATGCAGTGTTTGATCCCCACATTGAGGTTTGAGAAGGTACCATACCATACAAATAAATACTGTTAAGGAGTACTGGTACTTAATATATTTAGGAGTTTCACTGCTTTACCTTGCCTGCAGACAGCCCTGTTCTAAAGCAAACAAGTTTGGTGTTCCTATGCAGGATGCACATTGAGGCTGTTTCTACGATAGGTTTTCTTCTTCGTATCTGTTGTATGTTCAGTAAACCACTGATACAAACAGCCTATCTGATGAAGTCTGCTGCAAGGGTATGATTACAGAACAGTTTTTATTTTATTAGTCTTTATTTTTGGATGGACTCTTTAAACCAGCTGATTTATGTTTTCTTTCCATCCTCAGCTACAGCAGTACCTAGTTAAGCTTCTGTTTCGTTCTCCGTTGCTATGCGAAGGACGTCCAAATAAAGGATGAATGAAAATACAAATGCTGACCTCTGTTTATGTGTCTTGTGCAGATATTCGAGACCGTCGTAAGAAGCCTGTGATGCTCTTCATCCATGGGGGCTCCTACATGGAGGGCTCAGGGAACTTGTTTGACGGCAGCGTCCTCGCCGCCTATGGAAACGTCATCGTGGTAACCATGAACTATCGCCTCGGTGTGCTTGGTAAGTTTTGGTGTGCAGAATCCTGCAGACGTTTCCATGTGATGGAAATGTTTCCAACTTTTGTTTAACATCTTTCATCTGACCTTGAGCAGCTCATGTGTGTCAGAGGGATGATGTCAAAATATGTACACACACAGAGGTCGATGTATAAAAAATAGCACATGGTGATAAACAAGGCATTATGATTCATGTCCCCTCATACATCACGGAGGACAAACTATGTACAGGAAAGGAAATTAAAGCTCCACCTGCAGGCTCCTACTCTAAGTCTCATATTGTCCTCTATATGAAAGTATCCCAAGTGCCTGTAATAACATACTCTGTAAAAATGCTTTTTGAGTTTTGGTCATGAAGCATCCACTCACCATAAATAATTTCAGCATTGTTGACATGCTGCTGCTTAGACAACATGTAAGAGAAAGTGCAGGCAGAATGCACAAAGAAACAGACGGTTATAAACCGTGACTTTAAGGGAGCTGATATGAGACAATATCCCATCCAAAGATTTTTTTTTTAAAATCCTAACAAAAGCAGGAAACATTATACTTGATCATTGTGTATGTAAGGGAAAATGTGAAGTGAGCAGGTTGTTGTTGTGCAATGGAACCCCCCCGACAGGGTGCGGACCCTGAGACGAGACTATTTATTTTCTCCTGCTAAACCATTAATCAGTTGGAATCCACAGTTAGAGATCCGTTCATAGCACTGGTATAACTAAAGCCTTCTTAAAGTTAGCTCACCTAGCTTTCATTACTCACATGAAACTAACATTTGCACTGATGGTGAAATGAAACAACTCGAGAATGAGTGTGTCTGCTTCGTCACCGTGGACGTCTGTTGGCATTTTCTGTTCCATTCACCAGTCTTCAACCACCTCCATATCTCATGCCTCGTAAACGTCCCATGTTCACTTTATGTGCCGTCTTCAATTCTGTGGGTTTTCTCCGTCAAAGCCTGCGGTATTTGCGTTTTTTTAACCTCTCTCTTCTGGTTATTATCCTCTCCTTTCTCTTTTCCCTCAGAGTAAACAGACCAACATCAAATAAACCAGATTTCTTTCCACAGATTGATATCATTACAGTTAGTCGTCCAGAGTCTGTGATAAGAGCAGTGTCCCTAGCAACCGTCTGCATTTCTTAGCAAGGGTTAATTCTTCTCGACAACGGTGCATATCAGACTGTTGCTATGCTAATTGGCCAATCACAATCAAGTATTTAACACAGCAGTCCAATAATAATTTGTACAAAAATAAGTATCTTACTTAAAAAAGATGTACATTACCTTCTAAAATGTAATGAAGTAAGAAGAGAAGTACAACATATAATGTGTTAAAAACCCTCTCATATGAGTGAAATTACAAGCGGTTTGTTGTGTGCCACTGTTGCAGATTTGGGGTCCCAGAGTTTTCCACAAATGCTCTTAAGTCCTTAAATGTGTTTTCCCAAACCCTCCATTAAAAGTGAGGAGAGATTTAAGAGTTAAGGGAGAAGTGCCGGGCGGCCTTTGGGGTTTCTTAACATTAACTGACATTTGTAATACACTTTAAAGTAATGTGGTGTAATTGACTGTTTGTAATTGGTGCGTTTCTGAATATTAAATACGGCATGTTATACTTGAAATCAATTTGTATCAATGTGCTTTTGACACTGTGCAAATTCAAGTTTTTTGCTGAATAGAAGTCATTTAACATCAAAGTTCACTTAACAGAGCTCCCCTGGGGTTTTAACTATTAACTATAGGCAACAACAGTAGAAACAGGTTGCATCTAAGGAAACACCTTATTAGATTAGAACAGTTTGTAAAATGGAGTTTGTGATGTTCTTGGCCTTTCAGAGCGAAATAAGAAAGAAAATCAAGAAAACATCTTCATGTATTTTGACTACAAATGCACATCGGTCAGAATATAAAGCTCTACGAAAAAGGAACCAAGAAAAACAAGCTGCATATGCTTCAACTTAACCGACTATAGAAGTGCAACACCAACTACAGGAAAGATGCATATTGTTGCATATTAAACATGTCATGAACTCTGGCAAACAGCTAATTAATACTTGTCACAGCAACAATAAACTCAAAACACCTGAAACTTGTTTTGTAGTCGTTTGGGGGCATCGCATTTAAGATTTTCAAAGATTTAGGGTCTGTAGAGAATTGAATAATTGGAATTTCTCTGAAGAAAGGAAACTAAATACTGTTGCAATGGACACAGCGGCACCAGGATCAATAAATCACAAAATGAAGTGACTGTATAGCGAACTTTGTTCAACTCAAAAAAGTGGACCTTGGTAAAGTTAGTCTTTAAGACCCTTCTGGGAAATTGGGCCTGAGCCTGTCCAGACATCTTTAACGCTTATAAGTGCTCCTCAATTTAAGACCAGAATCCGACCTGCGACTCAGAACAATATTATACTATATCATATTATATTGGCTTTATACCATCACAACACTGTTAGCTTGCGAGGCTAATTCTACGCATTGGCTTCTTCCTGTCTCTTTTCTTCTTCCAAAGGGCATCTAGTTGCAAAGTAGAAGACCTCGACAAAAATGAGTCAGAGAGAATGTGATGACTTTATATGTCTCATTAAATTAAAAAAACAATGTTGCTCTTAACAATGTTGTGTCAACAAGACCCAACCTAAACCCACATATGTCAGTAACAGTAACAGTTTAAGGATCCGGTCCACACCAGATAAAACAGACTGTACAAAACTTTCATTCTTTACTGCTCTGTGACTTAGAAATGCTCAATCATGCAAACTGGCTTTGTGCAAACTGTATGCAAAAATCAAGCACAGTGATGCCTTTTTAATCCTTATCTGTCACTGTGCTTCCAGTGTTGTTCAGACCAGACCACTTGTTCCTGGATCGTTCACTGTTAAATCCATGCAGCAGGAATTTCACAATAAAGTACACACAGGTGTATTTACTGTGGTCACTTATCCTGAAAATGACATTTATGTTCATCAATTATTTGTTGCAATAATATGCAGGTCTGCTGGAAAAACAGCCAGGACCTGACTCACTGTACTTCAGAGAAACGAGCGACCACTTACTGCCTTTGGTGTACATTCAGCCATTGTAATGTGTCTGTTGCTGTCAGTGTATTTTTGGATTAAGGGTTATTCTATTTGTCCATTCTGGTGGAGCTTTGCTGTGCTTGCCTGGCCTGTTAGTGTGGGCTGAGTGTGTGTGTGTGTGTGTGTGTGTGTGTGTGTGTGTGTGTGTGTGCGTGTGTGCGTGTGTGCGTGTGTGCGTGTGTGCGTGTGTGCGTGTGTGTGTGTGTGTGCGTGTGTGTGTGTGTTTATATGTGTATCCAGCCCTTTTGCTGCTGGATACCAATGGAGTCAAGTATTTACATTCTCAGTCATCTTTTCGGAGGTGTTTGCACACACACTATCTGTGACTGTCACTGCGGTTGCCAGGTTGGGTAATCAGATCTTGTTTATTGCATCACGGCTGTTTCAACATTTCAGAATAATGATAAACAGAGAAATGGGAGATGTTTAGGATGCCGTCCAAGAGTTGCAGCGAGCGTTAACAGAGGGTAACATGATCCAGACTGTTATTGACCATGCCAATGGAGAGGCACAGGGACAAGGACAAACTGAGAGTTAGTGAAATGGGGAACCTTGGACCTGCAGCTTTATCCTGCTCCTATTCAGCTCATTAAATGGCCTCTTTCACAGTTTTCAGAGAAATCGTGAAAACGTTCAGAAAATGTACAAGACTTCCAGTTTAAAACATCAGGCTTGGTTTTAACAAAGAGGAGGCAAAATGCTCTCCATTGGACAAAAAAGTTACGCAAGAAAACCACAGTATCCAGAGAATAACATGAGGATGACCTCAGCCCTATAAACAAAGTTTGAATACCGGTGAGGACAGGCGGGGTCTCAAACCAGTACTAACTTACTGCCCTCTACATGCTCAAACAGCATATACTGCATACTGCCTACTGACCTTACAGTTAGTATGATGTTAGCATTATAAGGTGTGTCCTATCTGCGTCACATCAATCACATATATCTGGTCCCAGCCAAGTTGAACAAGCTAGCGCCAGGCTTGTACACCTACCACCCTATATAACAAAAAAACAAGAATACATTCACAACAACCAGTCACATTTACTCCATGACAGACAAATAGGTAACAATGCCATAAAACCTAAAAATCTGATTTCAACAAGCCTCCTGGTGCGCTAAAACACACATGCCACCACACACTCACAAAACCTGTCACTGGCTGGGTCAGGGGTGCTGGCTGTGGGGTTGGTGAACCCTTTTTCAGGATGTCCAGCTTCTCTTGAAACGTCCTTCTTAATATAATATAAAAAGGATTCGCTAGTAAATCCATTACAACCTTGGTTCTTCTCCTTGTGTGTTTAAATAAACTGAACTATCTTAAACAATCTATACCACACAAAAAAATAGTGCCACTCCATGTTGGCCTGGATTGTGCTTCAAATCTAAACTTTACCAAAATTACAACAACTCACAATCACCTTATTAGAACTTCTCCTTCCATGATGTGAAGCGAGCTAGTTTCACAAACCTTAGCCTGGCCCACTGAACAATCAAGCCGCGCTTAATTCTGCCAGACTCGGCAAGGCAAGCTAGAGGGGCATGTCAGATAATACACATAATATGTTGAACTCAAAATCTGATTGGTGGATTAATATGAAAATCTACAATATGGTCCTCATTACTAGAATGAGTAGTACCATCACTTGAAATTCTGAAGGCCTCAGGGCAGATTTTTGACCTGGAGACAACACCGAGGTGAGATCTGATTGGATTAAATGCTGTCATCAAAAGGGGCTGCAGTGGAAGCAGTGCAACTGAGGAGGGGAGAAGCTATGAAACTAGGATGAACTAATGGGAGCAATTCTGACAATCAACAATACAAACAAACTTATAGTATTAATAGAAAATAAATAAGAAAATATGAAATATAAGTTTGTGATTTTGAACGTGTTTAGGCCAGCAGAGAAGGTTTTGCTGGCC